ATACCAATAGGGCTTGAGCCATCGGTACAAGTGGTTCTTTGAATCCCCCGGCAAACGCCTCACTCACGAATGATCGTTGCGCCCCGGTGTCAATGAGGATTCTTGCGTCTCTCCCGTTAATCTTTAGTGTTCCTACATTCACAAGCAATGTAAGACACACTCCCCACTTATTAGACTCATTTCTTAGGTTATAGAGTACCCCGGCTATGGTTTGGATGATCGTCAGCTAACGCCCCATCCCGATTCCATCCCGGTTCCCACCTAAAATCAACACCGTGTACCAATGAGGGAAAGCCGGCCGCTTTTCATGAAAGCCGGCCGGTTTTCGTACTTTGGCCTTCAACCCGGAATGGCTGGTTACGTAAGCCGGCCGGTTTTTGCCAAAGCCGGCCGGTTTTCGGTCGCCGAAGGAATTCCGACTTTTTAATTATAAACGCCGGCCGGTTCTTATGAAAGCCGGCCGGTTTTCGGTCGCCGCAAGTATTACAGATTTTCCATTTATAAAAGCCGGCCGGTTCTTACGAAAGCCGGCCGGTTTTCGTTAACAGCGCTTCGCACCGGAATGCCTGAACACAAGCCGGCCGGTTTTCACGAAACGCGGCCGGTTTTTATACGCCGAATGATTTAAACAAAAATCAAACACGAAAGCCGGGCGGCTTTCGTCAACGTCGGGCGGCTTATGGTCGCCGTAGGATTTTCCAAGAAATTCGAAGGCGAAAGCCGGGCGGCTTTCGTCAATGCCGGGCGGCTTTCGTCCCAGGCGGATATGCATCCACCTCTTCGAACTAGCATATTCCCGGTGGCTATACAATGTACACATTTTAACACTTATATTGTTTACAAGGGAATAACATCAAAAGTTCAAGAATTTACCCGCGACGGAGTCCGGGTTAGCGCGTGCATCGGCCTCCGTAATCGCATAGACCCTCGCTTGGGTCCTCCCTTGATTTACGGACGGTGCATTGCTTGTGCTAGCTCCACCGTGCCCCATACTTGCACTCGGTGCTCCCGTTCGGTTCCTGCTCACCATGGTCCCACTACTCGGTCCGGAACCTGTACCTCGCCCAAGCTGTGGGCAACTCACCTTCATGTGCCCGACCTCCCCGCATTGGTAGCATCTCGGGGGATCGCGACACTTGCCTTGGTGAAGCTTCTTGCAGTTGTTGCACCTTGGTACTCCCGAGTTTTGAGACCTTGAGCCTTGCCCGCTTGGGCCTTGATTCGCCCTCGATGGTGGTGCAGGGGTCTTGAATGAGCCACCTCCCCCGTGGTTCCCCTTCTTGTTAGAACCTTGGGGGCCATGGTTCTCCCATTTTCTTTTCTTCGCCTCCTCGGCGTCTCTTTTCTTCCTCTCTTCCCACTGTTTCTCGCCCTTCAAAGCTTGGTCTACTACTTGGGCAAAAGTCATGTTAGGCAATTGTGTTGCCCTATCACGTATCTCCAAGTCAAGGGCGTCCCAAAAGTGGTTCACCATTCGGTTCTCGTCACAAGCATACTCCGGTATGTAGTCGGCGAGATCCCGGAACTTGTACTCAAGTTCCTTCACTGTCATGTTTCCCCCTTGGGTTAGGAGGGTGTATTCCCTCACCTTCTTGTTCACTTCGAAATCAGAATAATATTGGGCAAAGAACTCCCGTTGGAAGTCCTCCCAAACGACATCCTCCCCATACTTGGTCTTGGTCCCATCCCACCATTTGGATGCCATCCCCTCAAGCAACCTTACCGCTATTCTCAGTTTAAGGTTGGGCGTGATTTGCATGTCAAGGGCTGCTTCATTCAACCTCTTGATCCATTGGGCGGCAACCGAAATGTCTCCGGTCCCGTCAAAGGGTTTGCACCCCAAGTCTCTTGCTTCTTTGATAAATTTGGAGATCCTTATGGTTGGACCTCCATCATTTCGGCCTCCATGTGGTTCCACATGGACTCTAGATGCATTGTGGCTTCCTCCTCTTGAAGCCATACCCGAAGGTTGCCCCACCCGGCGCCTTCGGCGTTCCCTCCTCTCCTCGCGCTCTCGGTGGTATTGTTGGAGTAGCGCCTCAATTCTTGCCAAGGAGCCATCTTGCTCCTCGTCACTAACATCATCATCATCCCCTTCATAAGGGGTCTCCACCGGCTCGGTTTCCGGCCTATAGGTTGAGTCCTCATAGGACCAATAAGTCTCACTCTCCGTGTCGACGTGGCCGTCGCTCACGGTTTGTTGTTGGCCTCCACGGCCCCTTCCCCTGGACACCCTAGTGGACCCCCGGCTGCCGCGCTCGGATCCCCCCGGTACACGGCCCGTCGGGTTCCTCCTAGTGATTCTTCCGATTGGCTCCATTTCTGAAAGAAGTTTAGATTGAGCCATTAGACTCGTATCAATTGTCAAGTGACGGATAGGTACTTAAAGACATCTTTTGGCTCAAATCACCGCCATACCAATTGTTAAGGGTACCATCTTAACAATTAGAGACTTTGCAACTCAAGTACCAAAAGTTCTATAAGTACAAAACTTTATGCTCATGGTTTGCAAAATCATTTTCAAAAAGGAATTTTGAAGCTTCATTATGAAGTTTACGGACTAAGGCTCTGATACCAACTAAATTGTCACGCCCCGGACCTACCGGACACGTCAACAACCCGCCGTACAGTACGAATAGTCAACCGCAGTCCAACTCATCCATACTATACTAGGCGTCTTGAATATCATTCACAATAGTACATCCATAAACAAACATAATGTAAAATAATCATTTAAATCAGCGGAAACGTTTAATACAAGTGTTTATGCCACACTTCGGCAACATGGGCGTACAAGCCCCAAATAATTAATCAAAATAATATCCATGAGCATTAATTTAATGTTTTAAAAATAGAACGGAGGAAGCACGAACCACGTCTTCTCTCCCTGAGCTCCCCGAAGCAACGGGCGATGGTAGCAAGCTTTACTCCCTACCTGAAACTGTGAGGTGGCCTCCCCCGTGAAGGGGAGGTCAGTACTTGGAAGCATTTGACAAGTACAATGACAACTATACTAAGTATAATCAACGTTTTAATTTCTAAGACCCTCAAAATAGGGTGATATCATAATATAAATAATAATTTATATTTCCCACTTATTATCTCTATAATAAGTAAATTTATTTATTTGTCGGCACACGGCCCATTTCATATATTTCATTATACCCGTCGTTAGCACGACACCGCCCGTAGGTCTTATCATCCTTTACGAGACTTGTCACCGCTCTCCGAGGCCTCACCGGGCTCTCGGGCCGGAGTCCAACATCCCGCCCCTGAACTCATACCCATCGTCCCGTAGGAAGGTAAGGTCCATTCGGGGTCCTATCTTATGTGTTACCGCTGTCGGGAGCCTCGTAAGGTCTCCGGTTCGGATTCCACCCTAACCCGTGATCACGATGTAAGTCCATGCTATCCAACCCCGCTCTCTAGAGTCGGGAAGGGCCATGGTCCTTACTAATTACCAATACTCTATCGGCTAATCCTTAAAGACTACCGAATACACCCGTAGGCCAATCCTATTCCTAGGATCAATTTATTATTCACTTTATCTTGGGTATCCCTTAAGGCCTACCCCTAGCATCACTTATCCACCTTAGTATCTCTTAAGACTACTTAAGGCTCAACAATTTACAATCCAAACCTTGGATCAATTCTAACATATTTCATTCCAAAACCCCGACTAGTATCATAGTACTAGTCGGATAAATTCCAACAAAACTCATTTTCAATTCATAGTCATATAGACAATTTCCAAACTAATTTTCCATTGAAAATATAGTTCATATCAATATACAAAATATAACCTTTAATCACTCATATATCCTTATATGAAGTTAAAGTTATATTTCAACACCATATTTATAATTAATCCCTTCATCAAGCCAATATGCTCATATTACATAATCATACACAATTTATCCTTAAATTTGTATATTATGCTCCTTTATTCATTGACAACAATATTTTCATTTAGGCATTATTAATCATTAATAATCCATGAAAATCACATTTAATTACTTTAGGTAATCCTACGAAATTAACCCAAAGATTATAAGCAATATAGTCAGCCATCCTCACCTTATGAAGTGCTGGGTTAGTTGCCTTTGATAAGCCCTTCGATCGATCCCCGTTCTAAACCGATCAAGAGTGAAAAGTCTGGACAGAAGGTGAAAGCCGGGCGGCTTTCGTGAAAGCCGGGCGACGTTCGTGGTCTGCTACCACGAACAGCTCCTCCTTCTTGGCGGTTTCCGGTGGTTTCAACTCCTATCGATTCCACGACTCTTCTAAGTTAAATACCACCACTTTATAACATTATTCTACACTTTTAAACGTGTAAAAAACTCATGTTTAATCCGTCGTATGATTTCTTAAAATCATACAACATAAACTAGTTAAAGGACTATATAAGTTCTTACCTCCAATCCTAACACCTTGGATTTCCTTTGCTGGTTCTTCCTTCAACCTTGGATTCAATGAGAGTGTTTCCCAGAGCTCTCCTCTTCCTTGTGTTGGCCGAATGATTGCAAGGGGAGTAGGGGAGATGTCTATCTCAACCAACACAATAATGTGTGGGATATGGCATGGGGTGAGTGGGTTTTGTCTTGTGCAATCCCCTCCCCTATTGAGTCCGCCCCTCCCCATGTTTCCTTGTCTCAACTCATTATTTTGAGTCCACAAATCTTGTAGGAAAAACCCCGAATGGGGTAGAAAGTTCCTCCCAATTATTCCCGCTATTTCGGGCCGGTCGGATCAAAATAGCACCCGGGTTGTCCAAATATTTTTATCAACTTCGGTTGGCGTTTTATTGGACCCCCTATGATTTTTATGATAGCCCAACTAAATATTTGGTAGCCCATTCACATTTAATGGACCCGATAAATAATCTGATTAATCGCACATTAATTAAATATGCCCATTAATTACACGAATTTTATTTGCTAGGAAATTCAAATACATGTCACATTTCAAATTCAAGTACATCCGGGTGCGGTGTCACATACCTTGTCGATGGTATATGCCCTCGTTCAGATCTACGAACAGTAGGAACCATCTGAGAAGAGCTACCATCATCTGTGTCTGGCGGGGTGGATTGTGTCTCCCCTTGCTCTGCACTCTCTTCTGTCTCCTCGCCTTCTTCTGTTTCTGAGTTATCTTCATGCACTTTGTCCTCTTCTGGTGCTTCATTTGAAACTTGAACACCCTCATTTGACTTCCGAGACATTGTGGGTTTTTCAATGTCTTCTATTGTCAAATCTTCGTGGAACACAACATCCCTACTTCTGAACACCTTTTTCTCCTTAGGATCCCATAGCCTGTATCCAAACTCTTCATTTCCATAGCCAACGAAAATGCATGGGATAGTTCTTGCATCGAGCTTCTGTCTGAGCTCTTTGGATACATGTGCATATGATGAACATCCAAATACTCTAAGATGTGAGTATGTAGGATCCTTACCTGTCCATAACCTCTCTGGAACTTCAAAGTTCAGTGGTACCGAAGGTGATCGGTTGATAAGGTAGCATGTGGTGTTGACTGCTTCTGCCCAGAATGACTTCGGAAGCTTAGCCATATTCAGCATGCTCCGGACACGCTCCATGATAGTCCGGTTCATTCTTTCAGCAACGCCATTGTGCTGAGGGGTGCGTGGTACTGTCTTCTCATGTCGAATGCCATATTCTCTACAATATGCATCGAACGCCTTAGAAGTATACTCGCCTCCATTATCAGATCGGAGACATTTCAGCTTCTTTCCCGTTTCACGTTCCACCAAGACGTGAAATGTCTTGAAGCACTCAAATACCTGATCTTTCGTAATCAGGAAATACACCCACACTTTCCGAGAAGCATCATCAATAAAAGTCAGAAAATATCTGCTTCCACCGATTGATTCCACCTCGAAAGGACCACAGACGTCGGAGTGTACCAAACTTAACAACTCTGATCTTTTAGCTGAAGTAGAACTAAATGATACTCTATGATGCTTACCAAACAGACAATGACTGCAAGGACCCAGTGCAGCATTCTTGTCGATGTTGATAAGGTTCTTCTTAATCAAGGTAGTTAGCCTTTTCTCACCGATGTGGCCGAGCCTCAGATGCCACAGATTCTGAGTAGTCTCCTCAGCAATATTGAGGCTATCCGTACAAATCCTCAAATGAGTTTTGTACAATGTGCCACAAACATGTCCTCGAGCGATTGTCAAAACGCCCTTTGACATTTTCCAGGTGCCCCTGTTAAAGTGGTTTTCATACCCCTGTTCGTCAAGACATACCACTGACAGGAGATTGAGACGAAGGTTTGGAACATGTCTAACATCCTTCAAAGTGATTGTGCTCCCAGAACTCGTCTTTATTTGTACATCACCAATTCCAGCTATTTCAGATGAACTGGAATTGCCCATCTTCACTGCTCCAAAGTCTCCAGCTTTGTAAGTTGTGAAGTAGTACCTGTGGGGAGTAACATGGTAGGATGCTGCAGTATCTACCACCCATTCAGTGTCCTCTCTTGAGACGTGAAGGCATGTTTCATCATTGATAGTACAATACGCCACATCACCTGAGATTGTGATGAGCGCTTCACCACCCTTGCTCTTCGCTTGAGAATTGCTCTTGCCTCGCTCCTCTAGCAATTTGTAGCAATTCTTCTTCATGTGACCCTCTATACCGCAATGGTGGCAGGTATAAGAAGGTTTCCGGCCATCTGATGATCTCCCCCGACTTTTGCCCCTGCTTTGCCATTTCCCTCTACTGTTTCTTTGTTGTTTTCCTTGTGATCTTCCTCTATTCTCTGTCACAAGGGCATGAGTCTCATCTGTGCTCATGTCTTTCCTTCTTGCCTCCTCATTGAACAGTGCATCCTTGACCACAGACATGGTAAGTTTGCCATCTGGGGCTGAGTTGCTGAGAGTAACAACTAGTGTCTCCCAACTATCAGGAAGGGAACTAAGAAGCAGTAGAGATTGCATTTCATCTCCAAGTGGCATTTCTACACAAGATAGTTGATTTACCAGACTCTGAAATTGACTAGTATGTTCGGCAACAGAAGTTCCACTTTTGAGCTTCATATTGACAAGACGCCTCATCAGTAGGGCCTTGTTCCTAGCGGTCTTGGCCTGGTACATATCTTCTAACTTTTTCCAAAGGGCATAAGCATCGGTTTCTTGTGCAACATGGTGGAAGACACTATGGTCAATCCATTGTCGGATTTGACCAATAGTTTTTCTATTAATTTTCTTCCATTCCGTTGACTTAGCCGGGTCAGGATTAATACCTTTCATCTCTATTGGATCAAAAAGGTCTTTACAGCTAAGGAAATCTTCCATCCGAGGTTTCCATAGCGTGTAGTTGGTAGCCGTGAGCATAATCATAGCTCCGGAAGATGAAGTTGACTCGTCAAAGGTCATTTTCACCTTCTAAATAATTTTGATTTTCTGTTTCAGAAAAATCGGAGCAGAATTTCGAAAAACGGGCAGCACCGTTGCGTCTGGAACGGCCGAAAATGGTGGGTAGGCACTTTCGGGGTTAAAATACAATTTTCGAAAAATTATAGGCCGAAATTATAATTTTTCAAAAATTGAGGGACCAAACTGCAATTTTTCAAAATTTAAAAACTGACCGGTGACGTGGCAGATGACGTGGCAGTGACGTGGCGGTGACTGGGCGATGACGTGGCAGCTGACTGGGCGCTGGTGAAAGTTGGCAGTTGACTAGTGACGTGGCGGCTGATTGTGCTGGGACTGCACATGTGGCGTTGAGGTGTCGATGACGCAGCTCTGGCTGGCTGATGACGTCAGCGATGACGTCAGCTGTCTTCAACCTCTGTCTGCGCGTGATGACGTCAGCATGACGCAGGCAGTTTTTGGCCGGCGTTTGGCGGCGCGTACGGCAGCTTCCGGTGGCCAAAAAAATCCCCAAAAATACCAGTATTCTCTTCTCGACGAGACGAATCCAACGGTATATTCAGATTGCAATTCTGAGCAATACTGAAAACTCGATTTTTCAGACAGTAGAATTTTATCTGAAAAAATCTGGGAAAAATATCAAAAGCTCAACCAAGCTCTGATACCACTTGTTGGGAATAACAGGATCGTGCTAATTTGAGAGAAAAACACTTCTATTACTTTCAAGAATAGAAAGAAGAGACATACAAGCTCTAACTAAAAACTCTCAAAACACCTCACATATCTCTCAAGGATATTCACAACTCAAACTTGGTTGTGGTATTCTAATCTATGATCTAAATTGCTTGATGATAGAAAGACTCTCCAAGCTCTCTATTTATAGCACCAAAACTAGGTACTAGGAAGGTGGGAGGAAGATGGGTGGAAGCTTAGGAGAAGCTTCAATGGAGGTGTGAGGAAGGTGGTTGTTTGGTGTGAGGAAACTTCCCAGAGACATACTTGCACATGGAGGAAGTTTCATGGATGTTGCTCACAATTGAATTCTTCAGAAATTGTAATAACAATCATTTTTAATGCACAGAAAGTTGCAGCAAACTCAGTATTACTAAAAATCAGGTTTTGGGCGTTATACTGAGTTCAGTACCACTAGCCACAAGCCCACAAGTACATAAATCTTCAAATTCAGCAAAAGCAGTAAAGGCTACAAGCCATGTAAATATCTACATAATATATACGATTCTCTAGAGGGGCAAACTTAGATACTTCTTTTAACAACTGTGTTGAGCACATCCTAAAAGCACAATGAGTGTTTTGGATAAGTCTGTCAGGAGTGTCGCATAAATTCCTCTGGGTGTTTTGTTGCAGTTGCAGATGAAAGAATATATTCAAGACTTAAAAGTTAAACTTCCTCTTTAAAATTTGCAAATTCATCATCATTATATACTATAGTCAAGGCCGATCATGTATACTTTTGGGCCTATAATCTATAGCCATGCCTTTTCCATTATTTGCAATGGAGCCAAAGACTCACTATTTTGTACCTGGGGAATATGATGGAATAAAGCAAAATGGTTCACTAAACTGTCCGCGCTTCTTTGTTATGAAGAAGCAGTCAGTCCATGCAATTTTCACCATGGGTCATCCGAAAGCAGTCTCTTTATGCTTTAGTGCAGGGGTAACCCCTGCGTACATCCGACTCCCCCCTAACCTACCGTAGGTAGGAGCCTTTGCGGCACTGGGGTAATGATGATGATGAGTCTATAGCCATGCCATTACAAGATTGATAATGTAACATAAACAGGCAAATAACGAAACATGACCAATCATTTCATAAATAATACCTGATCAAGTTATCATATATATAGGTTTATCAATATCTTGAAAATATGCAAATGGAATGCTTCAAGGTCTTCTTGGCATCTTTGTCTCATACAGGGTCATTTGCCAAAAACGGAACCTGAGGATTCTCTATTGAAACTAAACTTTCTGTAACTATTAATATAACTAACTATTATATTAATACATTTATTAATGATCATCATCATTACCCCAGTGCTGCAAAGGCTCCCACCTACGGTGGGGTAGGGGGGGTCTACGCAGCATCAGTAATTTGCCAAAAATAGAGCATCAGGCTCCACTACGAAAGGGGAGCATTACTCACATTTTCCTTTTTCTACAAACTGAATATACTTCAATTTATTTTTATTTTACCAAAAACTCATTTTGACCTTTGAGTTGTGCATGATACATCGTTGGACTTTTACTCCTTGAGTTTTGCTAGGTGTACACAAAATGTGTACACATGTTTGTCCTTCACAGAAAATTTGTCTGTCACAGACAGTTCATTTTGAGTTGTCTGTGACAGACAAATTTTCTGTGAAGGACAGACATGTGTACACATTTTGTGTACCTCAAGCATTTTCATTACTCCTTTTAGTCCTTTGTCATAGCACCTTTGATCTATTCCCATCAATCATTAGCTAATCTAAACCAATTTGAGTATGGTTTTACGCATATTCAAAAAGAACATAGTGTTCCCTCTAATTTAAAACAATAATGAGACTGGTTTAATTTTAATAGTAAACCGTTTATTTAGCCCTTGGTTTTAGCACACTGTTCAATACTCTCTCCATTACGAAAAGGTTGGCCAAATTTCCTTTTTTGGATGTCCCAAAAAGATTGGCCATTTCCATTTAAAGTAAGGAATATGTGACTAAAGTTAATTCTCTCTCCTCTGCACAAATTTCAACCACAAAGTTTTTACTTTATTAATCCACGTGAAAGTCAACTTTGGCCAACCTTTTCGGGACGGTGGGAGTATTAGATTATGAGATTTTGAACTAAAAGGGAAGAAACTGTTTGGCATGTAGAAGGGCAGGAGTAATTGGAATCATATAACTAAGAATCATATAACTAAGACAGAAAACGTTGAGATGATCAATAATCTACCTCTATATAAAAAGAGGTGGAAAACCAAGTGGTTTTCCCGCCTAAACTTAGGGGTTATGCAGTGGGCCGGGTAAGCTGATAGGGTCGGATTGATTGCATGCAGTTGGTCAAAGCAGTTGGTTGGAGCTATTAAATGCATTGCTTCCATCTACTGAAATGTAAACAAGGTGCTACGTATATTACATTGGGGATTGGGGATTGGTGAACTGACATATTACATTCAATATAGGTTAAAAAATCCTTTCGAGTAAAAGGTTATTTTATTTGATGTAAAAAATAGCAAGGTTGTATTTAATGCAAAGTGTTCATACAGTATCTTCACCAAACCAGCACATGAAGCATTAAATTCGGCTTTGACTGTCCTCCTATTATAGTTCACAAATTCAAAGCACTTTAAAGGTAGTTGGGAGTTTTTCGGAAATAGGAAACCAGATTTTGAATAGATACAACATATTGTCCAATGGATAAATTATACATATACACAGTAGTAAAGTAAGACAAAGCCCATCCAATATATTTACAAGTGAAATTCCACACAATCACAAGCTACATGGGTCCTTCCGGGAGAGTTGAGTGATTAGAGATGCCAGCCACATTTTAAGGAACTGAAGCTCAAAACTTCTCCACCATGCCTACGAGGTACACAGATCCTTTTGTTACTATAAAGGTAGTAAAATGTTAAAAAAATTATAAAAAAAGGCATTTTCCTGTGTTTTTTACATTTATAAGTTTCCATATTCATACCGATTAATCATTACATCTTGATTTTGGCTTTTTATTTCAGAGTGTTGCTATAACAGCGAACTTGAAATTACTTCAGAAAACGGAAGTCTGGGTAGCCAAATAAACCAAAGAAGGTAATATTTTGGATTCATAATTTAAAAATTTTATTTTACTTTTTTATTACATTTAAATGAAATACCTAATAATAATCGTAAATCCACAAATGGAGGATAGGTTTGAGAAGAAATGCTTTTGAAAGCCCTGCACCAAACTTAAAGAATCTGAGGGTTCAACACCCCAATAATGTCCAGCACAAGAAATTGGAAAAAATGATCAAACATGATGAGTAGTACAGAAATGAAGAACAAAGACGAATCGATGGATGGAAAAATATCTATTTTGGTTTTTGTTAAAACTTAACCTAATTCTAACCTTTAAAAACTTCGACTTTTGTGTTTGAAATTCTGAACTTGAAGCACCTGGATTTGTTTCTTTTGACCCTGGATTTACTCTGTTATCGTGTATCTACTTTATGTTTATTTCAGGATTGCAGTCAAAATATGATATAGAGCAGGAATGTAAACCAGCACAACTAATTATGTCACTTGAGCAAAATCAAACAAATAAGGAGCATTCCAACTCATTCGCAGATGGCCAGATCGAGCTCAGCATTCCTTTAATGTTAAAGGAAGAAAAATTTACATTTTGTAAAGTTATTATTCCTATTATTGTAATCATAAAATTGTTATTGGAAGCTGTATTCAATTCATTATTTTAATAACATAAGTACTCTCTACCTACCCATATCTAATCAATAAATAAAACGTAATATATGAACAAATATTGTTTCAAACAACTGTTTATTCTCTTATTTGTTAGATTATACAGATTTAAGCAAATAATAAGTAAGCAATTGAAACTTTTACACTAAGGTAACACACAAACTATCAAAAAATTTGAGCAATAATAAATGTGTGAATGTTTAGATTTTTAGAAAATATTTTTAAATGAATTAAATACAGAGTATAACATAGCAGTAACAAGGTGGTACTTTTTATCTACTCTAATTAACTACCAAAAAATTAAAAAAATGAATATACGAATTGGAAAAAATATCAATCAAATAAAAGTATATGTAGTGTTCCGTACATCTTAGTCCTATATCTACACTTACCATTTACTCTATGGGTCATGATTTATAACTTTAGGCACTAACAAACTAAATACTTTTTAATTTGATTTTATTTAATTAAATTTAGTTTAATTTAGTGTAAAAAGTAAATCTTAGTGAAATAGATTTACAAATTTTGAAAGCCCTTTCCAAAATTGGTTTACGGTGCCCACTCATACCAATTTAAACAAAATTTTAAATCATACTCGCACTGCCATATGAAAATATGTAACAAAACCACATGCAATTAAACAAATTTGTAAATCCTACCATAAATCGTATAAGAAATGTTATCAATCAGATGCAAATTCATTACTTAGACTGAGGACGAAGATAATATATGTACCCATCAACTTTCATGTGGCCGATTTAACCGCTGCGGCCGTTGTTTGAGCCCGTTCACAAACGATGTAACATTTGGATGATGAATACCAAGGGAGAAGCTATGTATGGATGAACGTATCGACGGGGAAAGGATGGAGAAAGGCCGGAGTTTGTACAACAAAGGGAGAAAGGACGAAGGGTTCCAGAGAGCATCGGCTTAACCTGTCTCTTCTGGAACCGATGGATACAAGAGCAGCGTAGGGAGAGTAGGGTTTGTTTTGTTGGATATTAAATGGGCAATGATAAACGGGTTACGTGGGCTGTATTTTGGACTTTTTTCAAGTGGACTTCTTTTATTCTAAAATAAAAACGTTGATATGAAAATGTAAATGTGTTGTGCAATTCTTGAATTGTTAACTATGTCGGCAAAATGTAGGTATTTTAACAAAATGTTTCTAAAAAAGTAATTTAGTATTGAACAGAACAAAACGTATCATAATTTGTGAAAAGTCATGATATTATAATATTTTATATATTTATATTTATATATTTTACACGTTTTATATATTTATATTCTGATATTTCACATGTATATATTACACACTTTAAATTTTTTATGATTTCATATTTTATACGGAGTATAATTTAAATTTAAATTGTTATGATTTTGATTATTTCTTAAATGTGTGTGTTGGTATTGTACAATATAATTTTATCTATCTTTCTTTTTATTGTAAATCACAGGAGTAAAAATATTACATTATTCAAATAAATTTTGTACCGTGCATCGCACGGGTGAAAATCTAGTACATAAGAAAGAGATTACAGAAACATATTCTAATTTACATGTTTA